TAAGGTATTACTACATAAATAATAATATGTGTTTTTATATGAACCTGCACATGCAACAATGGGCCAAGTAACTTGGCCCGGTTTTTTATTTTGTTGCTAGAAGTGATCAGGATGCCAAGACGCATCTACATGTCAATTTTGAACAAAATCGGACAACATTTTAGAAAATTCAGCCTTTTCTATAGTGGACAATATAATGTGGATCTCTACTTCAATCTAAGTTATGCAGTGCAAGAATGGGCTAGCTAACATAGCCCGAGATAATAATTAAGCTGTGCTTCTTCGCAGGTGGGCCAAGTTAACATGGCCCGTTATTACACAGATATTAGCAAGACACGATCTACTGTAAAGGTGGGTCAAGTTAATGTGGCCCGTTATTGCATAGGTATGAGATTACTTCTATTAAAAATAGTTGCTGGTCTATGTTACATGGCCCATATCCTTTTATATGAATGGGTGGGCCAAGTAATGTAGACCACATAAGTTTATTGGAAATCAGCGAGCCATGTAACTTTTTTCCAGATGCAGACGAAACTATTTACAATTTTGCTTAAAAAATTAATGTGCCTAATGGGCCAACCGAATACCTAACCCACGAAAAAAAAATGTTTGATGATCCAACATATCCTGTAAAAATGGGAAAGTTTTTTTCGTTTATCTCAAAACCACTAAAAACTACTTAGCCCACTCTTGCATGTGCAGGTTCATATAAAATCTGGATAATGGATATTGGGAGGTGAACCCTATTTTTTTCTGGCCCAGACAGTAATGTACCAAAAAACACTTCCCCAGCAGTATCTGGATCTTTAAGTATGTAATATTGAAACAGTTAACACATTTGTTTTTCTTCCCTTCGAGCGTTCTGATTTAAACATCTCAAAACTAAAGATAGCATCATAAGGGATCAAACACTCCAAATTTAATCTTTTCAGAGGTCTATAATATATCGTACCTTGGGCGGAGATGACATGGATTCCAAGCAGTAGAAGGATTAATGTGATCATCTAAAATCTTAAATTCTTCACATGAGCTCGTCACATGCTCATATGTTATACTTTCACCTTAAGCGAATAATGATTAATGGCATTCTCGCTGAAACTTGAAAATTCGGGTTCCATTGTAACACGTAATATTCAAAATGCACCTTACCAACAAGACGTGACAAGAACGCACAAGGACAAGAACACAATTTCAATCACAGCAAAACAAGTAACCTATCATTTTATTCAGCACGTAAGTAATAAGGTCAAATTCGACTTATTGGTGCCAAAGTTCGTTATTTAAATACTGAAACCTGGTCAGATTTTATTACGTGAAAAAATGTTTAGTCGTCCTCGTCGGAGATTCATTCCGACATGAAAATAAATTTTCCAGCTGTTACTGCTGCTTGCTGACGGAGTAATATCAACGTATTGACAAGTAGTATAGAGTTTGAATCTCCGCATATAAACTCAATATATGCTTTACTGCTTTAGAAATTTACACCACACTAATTATTGGTTCGTATATAAGAATAGATGAATAGAAAGGACTGAGTTTTTTTAAAGTTACATATTCCCTTCTTCTACTAATCTACTCACTGAAAGAAAAAAATTTTCAAATTTAGTTTATACCGTAATCTACTAAACGCTGGCAACATGGAATCTTAAAGTTATTGTTGGGGGGGGGGCCAAGTGGATATTTGTAGATATTTGGATAATGTCATCCACTTTTTTCGTGAATTATCCATTGACAATAATCTACAAATATCTACATTTATCTACAAAAAATGTATATCTCAAATATGTGCCCAGAAATTCTACTGAATTTTTGGAGATAAATGTATAAATTTGTAGAATTTGTAGAATTTTCGTGAATTATCCATTGACAATAATCTACAAATATCTACATTTATCTACAAAAAAATGTAATCTCAAATACGGAGATAAATGTATAAATTTGTAGAATTTGTAGAATTTTCGTGAATTATCCATTGACAATAATCTACAAATATCTACATTTATCTACAAAAAATGTAATCTCAAATATGTGCCCAGAAATTCTACTGAATTTTTGGAGATAAATGTATAAATTTGTAGAATGTCATCCACTTTTTTCGTGGATTATCCATTCTACATTAATCTACAAATATCTACAAATATCCACTTGGCCCCCCCCCCCCCCCCCCCCCCCCCCTATTGTTCTGTCTCACTAATAATAAAAGTGAGATTTTTGAGTCAGAGCATTACTAACTCTAAGGAATCCTGACAACAATAAAAAGGAAGTATAATCACTATTCACCAGAAAGTAAAAGTATTGAGATAATAATGGTGCGCCGTACAATGAATAATCACAACGTCACAACGTCAGGACCACCGCTAGCCAGTCAATCCTCGTGATCTCCTCCTCACTCCGTGGATCTGCTCATCCTAAGATTTCATTCACTTCACACCACACTCATACAGTTCTCCCAGGCTAATGTTGCCTCCCTTTTCCTTCTTGGCTATCTAATATATACCAGATAACCAGCTGATCTCCATTCTCCATTCTGCTAACTTACACTGAGATGAGACAGTTCTTACAAAGGTGATAATTCCTAATGCAAATGGTAGATAACCGAACTCAACTAATATCTTATGTTTTTTCTAATAAATAATAGTCCTTGAATTGAAGTTTACTAGTGCATATTGGGGAAACGCCTCCGACTACACTAAAAGGAAGCTAAACCCATATTCAACACAAAAGATAAAATTGAAAACATTGTCATTATGTATAATATATTATGTTCGGTACGATATTTAGCATAAATCAGCCACGGTTAGTCTGTGACTCTGTAGCCAAACAGTCGTATATATTACTTAGAATATATTTCATCCCTCCATACTTTTCGAAAGGTATTTTACTCTCGCTGTTCAATTATTTTAGGTTTAAGAATGGAACTGGTCAGTAAATCTGAGTTTTGCTGACCTGGTGTAACAACGTGAAGTGAAACATCTGAATATTGTGCCACGACTCGGCAAAATTTACAATTGAGGAACGTTCTTTTTACGTTTTTTTTTTTTTCTCAACAAAATGGTGAAATAATAACATTAATGATCACAACGTCAGGACCACTGCTGGTCTGTTATTTCTCGTTATCTCTTCTTCACAAGACCTGCTCGTCCTAAGATTTAATCCACTCCTGTCTTCACCTGCCCGTTACCCGACACTGATATATCCCTTCTTTATCCTACAAGACTAAGCAATTTATTTTAGAGAATTAATAAGTTTAATCACCCAGTCTGGAACCTACTTGCTGCCCCTTCCTCTTGAGTTATTGGTTTTTATTCTTCAGAATACTGTCTGGTTAATCTCTCAATTTGCACACATAGCCATATTTAGTGAAGTACACAACCTAATAATGGTTAACATCCCATTATTCTATAAAATAGGCGAAATTTAATGGAAATTTGTCTTGTCTAACGCCAACAGACTTGCATTGCTTCTTACGAACTTAAGGAAGCGTCATGCGATGCTATTACGCACGTAGGTTTACGAATTGCGTGGGTAGCACTTTGCAGGTTCAATTGACGCCCAAGAACCAGCCTAGTTATAAGTGAAACATAATCATAGTGCTATTAAACTTTAGCTACAAAACCATACTTTTATTATGCGGATGATTAAGTTACTGCAAGGAAATAGGTTATAATCTTAACTGTATTTGATTTTAAATTTTCTCTTTTTATTTCCCAAAACTGGTCAGTAAATCTGAGTTTTGCTGACCTGGTGTTACAAGGTGAAGTGATTTATATTAAGAGAAAATATTGTGCCACGACTCGGCAAAATTTATAATTGAGAACGTTCTTTTTACGTTTTTCTCAACAAAATGGTGAATCATGAGTTTTTTCATTTACATGTTTCACAACTCTGAATAATAATGTCGTGGCTGTGCCGTAACATAATAACATTAATGATCACAACGTCAGGACCACTGCTGGTCTGTTATTTCTCGTTATCTCTGCGTCACAAGACCTGCTCATCCTAAGATTTAATCCACTCCTGTCTTCGCCTGCCCGTTATCCGATACTGATATATCCCTCCTTTATCCTACAAGACTAAGCAATTTATTCTAGAGAATTAATAAGTTTAATCACCCAGTCTGGAACCTACGCTGAGATGAGAGATTACTCACAGTGATAAATCTTATATTAATCGCAGTTAAATTCCCACGAAACGCGATGAATTCTCCCTCTTGCTGCCCCCTTCCTCTTGCGTTATTGGTTTTTATTCTTCAGAATACTGTCTGGTTAATCTCACATCTTACTATATATAAAGCGAGACGATATATATATATATTTATCTGTGCCATTTTACTGACACCACGGCATCAACTTTAACGCGAATTTCTGCAAAAACCGTCAAAGATATACAACTGAAACTTTTTTGACTGGGTCAAATGCTTTAATGGCCTCCAAATCAGCATGAAAAAATAAAAAATTGGCCAAAAAATAGGAGTTTTAGAGCCCAAAATTTGGTACCCCAAGTGGTGTCAAAAACGCGAATTAAATAGGTAATAATTGTTTTAGTCTCTTGAGTCTTGACACCATTTTAGGGTTAGACGGGTTCCTGCTAGTTTAGCTAAATACACAACCTAATAATGGTTAACATCCCATTATTCTCTCAAATAATCCAAATTTGTCTTGCATTGCTTCTTAGAACTAAAAGAAGCGTCACGCGATGCTACTACGTGCGTGGGCAGCACTTTGCAGGTTTAATTGACGCCCATGAACCAGCCTAGTTCTAAATGAAACATAATCATAGTGCTATTAAACAATTTAACTGCAAAACCATACTTTTATTATGCGGATGATAAAAGTTACCGCAAGGAAATAGGTTATGCTTCATAATCTTACCTGTATTTTAATTTTATAAGCCAATCTTCGAGAGTATTTTTTCTATGATTAATTACATACATAAATGCAAATCACTACGGAAGTGACTACGCAGTGCGCTGCATTATATTGAAGTACACATATCCACAGGAAACGACAGAAGATGTCAGGACTTCCCACTTCATTACCAACGAAGATTATCAAACCACAAGAAGTCAGCAGCTCGAACAGATCAGATCTAACCTTATGGAGATCAACATATCGGGTTAGATTCGGTTTCCCAATAATTTGATCCTTAGAATATACTCAGGTTATGTTAGGGGAGCAGTGTTGATTTGGTTTGACACATAAACTCTGTCACGTGCCTAAACAAACCTCTATAACTCTGTTTGTTTGGAGAATTTTTGGACATTTTTACGAGTATCATTACTAAAATCAGATTTTATAAAAACTTATAGATTTTTTATTTAAATCCTTGGTTTCTTGTACAATTAATGATATGAACGACTCTTCCAGGTAGAGAAGATATGACTCAGAATGAAGCATCAGTACGTTGGACACAGTTTGAATCTCTGACCACCCCTCTCTCCCAGGTAATTATTATAATATTATTTAATATGAATATGATCGGGTTGGTTAAATTATATGACAGTTCGACGGAGGACATTTACAATTTTCGTATGGTTTGCAGATATCATGCCTAGCTGGCAGCTATCATGCCTAGTTGGCAATGCCAGCGCGGCGTTCAAATAATATCATTGAAGAAGACTTCTGCTAGTTATTTACCAAACTCAAATATTGAATATTGCCTGGTGATTGGTCCGAATTTGTCGAGTAAAACTTCTGTCTGGTATGAAGTTATCAAACTAATCGTGCTGTCGTTCAAAATATCACGATCAAGATAAACGTCTGTCAAACTGTAATAAATTAATATCATGACACATATAAATTCCAGGACCTTTGCGAACAGCTGAGACTTATACTGGAACCGACTAAAGCTGCCAAGCTAAAAGGAGATTTCCGCACTGGAAAACGTTTGAACATGAAACGAATAATACCGTACATAGCTAGCAAGTTCCAGAAAGATAAGATCTGGTTACGACGGAGCAAGCCATCAAGCAGAGATTATCAGGTTATGATAGCTCTGGACGATTCTGCTTCTATGTCATCTGCCGATTGTGTTCAGGTGAGTCATTCATAAATTCCCCGCTACTCTGGCCCTAGGTATTTTGTAAACTCTGTTGATTCTAACAATTTTGATTGTAAATCTTTATGTTATACTAATTGTATAGCAAATGTAATGTGAACCAGTCAGGAGCCATGATATTACGTCTGTATATTCCCTCAAATGGCTATTGTGTGAAAGACATAATTTGTAAATCATCCTCATCGCTAACATCTCCCTCTCCCTCTCTCTCTCTCTCTCTCTCTCTCTCTCTCTCTCTCTCTCTCTCTCTCTCTCTCTCTCTCTCTCTCTCTCTCTCTCTCTCTCTCTCTCTCTCTCTCTCTCTCTCTCTCTCTCTCTCTCTCTCTCGTTAAATCATCCTCATCGCTAACATCCCTCTCCCTCTCTCTCTCTCTCTCTCTCTCTCTCTCTCTCTCTCTCTCTCTCTCTCTCTCTCTCTCTCTCTCTCTCTCTCTCCCTCTCTCTCTCTCTCTCTCTCTCTCTCTCTCTCTCTCTCTCTCTCTCTCTCTCTCTCTCTCTCTCTCTCTCTCTCTCTCTCTCTCTCTCTCTCTCTCGTTATTGTGTTAATTATGCATTTAATCTATATAATTTTAGCAACCCATCAAACCCCCCAGATGTCCCTTGAGGCTGTTGCTGTCATAACTGGAGCTCTGTCCAAGTTGGAGATAGGAAGACTCGGGGTGTGTGGTTTTGGTTCTGACACGTCCCTCATTGTTCCGTTTAACGAGCCCTTCACCAGCAGTTCCGGAGCTAGGATCGTCAAACACTTCAGTTTCCAAGATACCAGCACGGATATTATCAGGTACATTTTAGTTTTAGGATTGCAACACGGATATTATCAGGTAAATCATCCCGCTTCAATTTTCATTTATTTTTGATTTTTAGTCTTTAAAATGATTTGGAATGATATACTTTTTACAGATTGTTGGAATTGACTAGAAGTCACTTCGCTCAAACAGCTTCCTTGCACTCCAACCAAGCTGTTTCTCAACTTCTATTCATTGTCAGCGATGGCAGGGGTCTTTATATCAAGGTAATGTAAATTCTATTTATTTTATGTCCAATGTGGCAATATTTAACGTCGGAAAATGGCTTGCAACATGTTTTGTAAGATTGCAAAATTCTTGTGAATTTCAACAACTCTAAAAATATATTATATATATAAACTCTTGAAATCCTGCACGTGAATTATAAATATAACCATATATTTTTCTGGCGAAAACATATATATGTATATATATATACAGTATCATATTGTGTAGCTGTACTTCTACACATTGAAAGCCGGTGTTGATTAGTATCTCTTAACTCTTTGCATCATTTTATTATTCATCACCATCTCAAATTATTTGATATAATAATAGTAGTTTTGAAAGTATTAAAACTCATATAATATAAGCTTGCATATAATATATATATACATTATACAAATGTGTTCGTTTCTCGTGGTCATCAGAGTGCTCTACTTAAAAATAAGAGCTATTTATAAGCGTTACAAAGTAAACGACATTATTTTCCAACATTATGTATTATATGATATATATCTTCCAGGGAGTAGAGGCGGTGAAGAAAGCGGTGAAGGAATCCTGGGATGCAGGTGTTTTCATGGTCTTCCTCATTATCGACAAACAGAGAGGCTCCGAAAGTATACTTGACGTCCGAACTCCAAGTAATATTTATTTCTTTTTGAGTTTTGACAATTGAATCACTGATCAGATGTTATTTTTTATCGTACAGTTTTTCTACCAGAGTGCTATCGTCAAACTATGTATTATTAGGCTAAACGCCTAGAACGTTCAAATTAGGAAGCGGTGGATTTGAAGTGACAGACTACTACCCCAATTTAATACAGATCTCACAAGGTTATCAGGGTACCTGATCAGCTTGACAAGGTGTCCAATCGAATCGCTGCTTTACCACCGTCCACCAATAAAAACAGTAACATAGTATAAGGATCCCGTCAAGGTTTCTGCATTCTGGTCAAGCTTAACGAGATTTGCTCTCATACATATACCCAACTATAAAACGGTCGAACTTAAGAGACCAGCTATGGATATGGTTACCCTAATATCCTCTGAAAAAGTGATCATGATATGTGGTACAGTTAAAAGGCCGGAATCCTACAATTTTGAACGATTTAACATTTTTTAATATTTATCTTATACAACTTAGCATCACTGGCACACGAAATCACGAAAAGCTGAAGTATTCTACCAAGTTTCTGAAGTATATTCAATTCGAGGTAACAATAACTACAAGGGAATTAACAATCATGGCAATTCCTTTCGGCTATAACCCAAAGGTTCATTTCAGTATTCGACAGTTCTGGGAAACTAGTGAAGATAGAATCATACCTGGACAGTTTCCCCTTCCCGTACTACGTTGTGCTGAGAGATCCGTCTGATCTTCCTGCTACCCTAGCTGACGCTCTCAGGCAATGGATAGAGATTGTAGCAAATTCCAGTTAACCGCTCATTCTTTTAGGCTTTTTAACATTTAAGAGTTTCTGCTTCAAGACTGAAGCCTTATTTTAACTTTGTTTGGGGTTTACGTTAAATTATTTATTATTTTATACGTTAAATTATTTACATCAGAGCGTTAAAAATTGTTAAAGCGCTTTCTTTGGGTTTAACGCCGTAGTACATACATATTACATTGCGCTGAAACCTACATTGCGATGAAAACTGCGATGAAATGCCGCGCATTTATAATACAGGCACACGTTTATAATATGTATATGTAATATGTATGTACTACAGCTTAACTTTATCTGTGCAATCTTAACATTATAACGAATGCATATTTAAGTAACTTTGTGTGACTGCCTAATCGGCGATAAGGTCAGTTATAAAATTTCCTGAATAGCTTGGAAGAAAGCTGACTTATTGATTTCAGATCTAGACAGAACTTTATTTTTATTGATCTTAGGAACAAAATTATTCATAGTTTCCGTATTGCCTGCCACTAGGGACATCCGTTCAAATATGGCAATCTGCATAATTGTCTCAATCTGAATGAAAACTGTATCGATGGAACCTATTTGAATGTAGAATTTTTGTTTGTTTCCTCTCGGTCTCCGTTCAAGATGTATTTATACCCATTTCAACAGGTCAGTTTTAACGGAACAGGATTCCGAAATTGATTTCGTTTTAAAATTGTGTTTCACTTTGCAATCATTATATTTATACAAATTCGAAGAGCCAACGTCTTGCAATGATACTAGATACACTCGTGAAAGAATTACGATAATTTCGGGCTTCGATGCAGTTACCACTACCAGTGCGGTTCACCTCAGATAATCATGCATCAGATCGAAGTGATCTAAAGTTCATTCTACTAGTACATAGTACTTATACCCATTACTGTCACCAAGATGTAACCCTTCACCTAACCAGTTGCTTTCGCGCCCCTGCAAGCGCAAGGGCTCTAGATAGAGCAAATGTAACCCTTTTAAGGTCCTTAACATGCAAGTAGACCCGGCCCTAGCACATCTAATAAAGACCTTTACAGGGTTAAATCTTGGTGACAGTTGTTATTGTTGGTAATCAGATTTGAACCACCTACTTGCACAATGTACCCTGTGTAACTGTAATATCATACACGTTGATAGTTCTCGGGGTATGTAATGTGTAACATCAATCGATGTATCTTTGTACGATGATTCCAGATCACCCCCACGACATAATAAGGTAAAAACACTTCCCTGAGGAGTTACTCAAAAATATTTTCTTAAACACATGGGTTGATTGACAATGCCAATCCCTTCCTGCTACGGTCTCGTCGAAGCAAAGCAAGCATGATAATGCGTCGAAATGTTTGATGTTACTATGGGTCGTTCACATATCACGTTATCTGTTATCGCTTTTTGAACAATTTTTACCTCCTCCGTAATCAGTTTTACACATGGCTATTGTGTCAAAATAACACAAGTGTAATCATTTGGAACCCCCTTGGCTGATTACGTAATATGTAATATGTGAACAACCCCTTACAGGAAGCATCCTCCAATATGCTCTAGGGCACACTCACAGGGTGGACACTGGACATCCACCATCAAGATCTTAGACGCGCACTACATCACCACAGAAAGCACATCCAATTTGATGTTTAATTGACGCTGTCAACCTTGTAGGTTTACAACCTACCAGGACGCGCGCCGAGTTGGACTCGTCGACGGTCCTGGTACAAATATTTTACGAGTATCACCCGTTAATGTCAACTCTTCCAATTCTAAATCGATGCGACGCAACAATGATAGTCCATAGTCGAACCAGTGACGTCCTCCTAAATTGATGTTTAACGGGCGATACTCGTAAAATATTTGTTTCAAATATAAAACGGGACAGGACCGTCGTCGAATCCAACTCGGCGCGCGTCCTGGTAGGTTATAAACCTACAACATTGAACATACAAACTTGATGTATATGTGTTTGAAATAGTTTTATATTTTATAACTTGCTTGATTCTGCATTAAGTTGACATTGATGATTGACATGGACAAATGATCCTGATATTCGTTTAAATTTCTTAGAAGTAGCATTCTTGCCCGAGTGCCGAGGCAAGTACTACGAACTAACGCGTGCTACTAGTACTTCGAAAAAATTTAGACAAGTAACATCGGCCGTCAGGACAACTGATACTCACACTATTATGGTCGCTATTATTTATTAGATCTCGACCGTTCTGTGTACACTGTACATTTCTAAATGCTGATTTCCATTTTAATCATTTAATGGTAAGTATTTAAAGTTATGATGCACTTCAAATCTTTATACTATCTTCACAATTGCTCTAAAACCAAAATAACTTGAATCCTTATGTAGCACAAACAGCCCAAATCTGTTTTACAAGCCTGTCATGTGCGCGCGTTTGACTTTGATTAACGGGTGATACTCGTAAAATATTTGTTCCATATATTGGAACAGGACCGTCGACGAGTCCAACTCGGCGTGCGTCCTGGTAGGTTGTAAACCTACAAGCGTTTGACAAAAATGGTTATTATTATTCATAACTCGTCAAGAAATAATTTTCATGCTACGTAATAGGTTTTATTCGAAATCAGCGTAAAAATACAAAATACATTGGTTGTTGGTATAGTTTACTTTTACAATCTTACGGATGATAATTAATCACTCTACACTCGACTGTCACGTGACGAAAACGCCGTGATTTCATTGGTTAACCTGATAACGCGCCGCAGATCTCTATAAACACAATTTATTCATCGCGCGTGCAGTAAACTCAAATTAAGTCTTAATTTGTTACCGAAATTTGGCAACTATCAACATCATGGCACAATTAAGTTGTAAATCGCTTGCCCAGTAAATTGCTGATCAAATGTACGGCACTTATAATACAGTCTACACTTACAGTGTATGAAGTAAAGTGATTTAGCGCGACCGTGAAGATACAGGGGGTGAGGGGGAGCCGCGCACTCGTGCGCTGCGGGTCATACAACGTATGACACGTGACCCCCAACGTCGTTTTCACCCCTTTATCATTTCTTACGACACAGGGGAGCCGCGCACTCGTGCGCGGCGGGTCATACAACGTATTAACAATTAATTGACGATGTCAATTCATCTCAGCTCGGCGCGGCAAAGTAGCGCATCTCGCCGATCTAGATGCTAGAGATGTATTGTATCACGTTGCGACCCCCACGGTCGTTTCCCTTTATCGTCCTGACGATACAGGGCCGGAAGCCGCGCACTTCGTGCGCGGCGGGTCATACAACGTATGACAAGAGATGTCGCTGTGAGAAGCCTCATTGAGTGCGGGGCGCGGCACAGTAACGCATCGCGCTACAAACAACGTATGACAAACAAAAATGGGAAACGTATAAGCATGTACATGCACTGTACACAGAATGACAGAACGGTCAAAATCTAATCGCGATCGCCATCAGCAACTATTATGGTTTTTTGTGGAGAAAGAAGACAGTAGCGTTTTTAAGTTTGTTTATTTATCAATATATCATATGCAATATGTGTTATAATTATTCATATTTCAGAATCAAGAATATAATTTAGCATTCCAAGTGCAAGTGATTTGTAAATTGCATAAACGTATATACTGTATACATAACACAATTATATTGATTCTGAATAAATTTGACATTGCATTGCAAAAAATAAAATCTGATCTCGATTCAGTTTGAATCGGTAATTGTTAATGGACTGACCCGGGCAATGCCATGAGATTTCGAGAAAAAGAGGCGCGCGCTACTTCGAAAACTATGAACTAGTATTATCCGTCAATTTGCTAAAATTTTGTATTTTGGAATTGTATTTTATCACATGTTTATTTTGCTTAGTTGATCCCTTCACAATAATCACATATGCAAAATGCAAAAAGCTCGAAAAGCTAAAAAGCAAGCTACGCATAGTAGTGATAGGCGCGTAAAAAGTGGTATAGCGTATGCAACGTGTATCATTATTTAAGTTTTGGTTAGGCCATTAGGGTTATGGATAGTTTCGGATTAATAGGTAGGATTTTGTCATACGTTGTATGACCCGCCGCGCACTTCGTGCGCGGCTCCCCCTGTATCTTCAGGACGATAGTGAAACGACTGTGGTGAAACGACCGTAGTGAAACGACCGTGGGGGTCGCAACGTGATACAAGCTTGTTGCAAGCGCCGGGCGCACTACACTGCCGTTTTCTTTGTAGCGCGATGCACTACTGGGTCGCGCGCGCATCAAATAATGCTTCTCGCAACCTCGGTAGATCGGCGAAATGCACCACTGTGCCTCACCGAGCTGCGAAGGATTGACATCGTGAATCAACCGTTTTCTCAGAAAAGGCAGTAAGTCCAATTTTTTCGAAATATGACAATATTGGTATCAACATTTTCAATAAAAAATTCTCTACAACATGAGCTACATATTAATGTATAGAAACATTGTTGCATGCAATTCCTAAGGAAGTAAGTCCGAGTTGAGAAATATTATGTTCGGTTTTGGCCAATTATTTTCTGAGAGAAGGACGTAAGTCCGGACTTACTGCCTTTTCTGAGAAAATATTGAAAATTTTCTGAGATAAGGAAGTGATTCCGTGGACTTACTGCCTTTTCTGAGATTAACTATCTGTGATAGGAAGAAGTAGCTGGACTTACTTCCTATAAAAGCATGCTAAAGATTACTGGGCCGCGCTCAGCCTGTCATTCCGCCTAATCTCTATTATGTTTATGAACATGATAGCCTGAGGTCCCAAGGTAAAGCCGTAGTACATACATATTGCATTACATGAAAACCGAATTTACATGAAAACCGACTGTACTTAGACGCGACGCGCGCGCTTTATTCACCGCGCGAAGAATCATTTATTCTTCGCTATGCGTGTTACGTTGAAAGAAGTCAGAAGACGTTTCCCTGAATTTTGTAGTGGATTTTGTAGTGGATTTTGCGCGCCGCACGTACTTAACAATATTTATCATTGTAGAATCTACGAGTCGTAGAGTCGTAGTACGACGGTAGCAGTCAGAAGTCTCAATAAACTGCTCGTACTTATACTTTTAAAGACACTTATAAGATATGAAAATCTAAGTAACACATCCACCCCACTCAGGCCGCCCATCCCAAATAGCTTGAAATCTGTGACAAATCCCTAAAAATCCAGAATGAGAATCTTTACCCCTGGGCCCTGAAGGGGATTTGTGTTGCTGAGTATTTGAAATATGTTTGGAGGTTAAATAGGTAGTACATATCCCTAACGATCACAAAGACCAAGTTTTAAGCTCTTGAACCACTCACGCCACTCACAGAGTTGGCCAATCCAAAAATGACTGAAATCCTGGTAAAATCCAGATCGAGAATCTTTACCCCTGTAGTGCTTTTATGTTCGGGGTAGGTGGGACATGTTTTAGTTTTAAAATGGGTTCTACCTGTCCCAAACCATCATAAAAATCAAGTTTCGACCTCTCAACCCACTCAGGCCACTCCCAGGGGCCACGCCCATCCCAAAATTACCGAAATCCAGCTAAAATCCAGACTTTAAAATCTTTACCCCTGTAGTGCTTTTATGTTCCGGGGTAGGTGGGACATGTTTTAGTTTAAAAATGGGTTCTAGCTGTCCCAAACCATCATAAAAATCAAGTTTCGACCTCTCAACCCACTCAGGCCACTCCCAGGGGCCACGCCCATACCAAAATTACCGAAA